ACACTTGTGATGCGACTACATCCCCCGCTGTACCTTACACATCTAAAACACGTCAAATGGTTTTATCATAATTTGGATTTTGTTTTAATTATTATTTTCTAATCGATTAAGTGTAGAAAATGCGAGTCCGTTTTGTGCGAGGGGAGACTTAGGAATTACCTAGGATATGTAAAGTACAGTGCGGCATGGATTTTCACGTTAAAGAACCTCTGTTCTTTGGAAAACCATAGTGGATGAAATTCACTCATACTCAACCATTTAATATTCAGATGAAGACAGGTGAAAAAAGTTTATAAATAGATAAATATTGCTTAGTGCCTTCATCAGAGCAGGCATATATATACATTAAAAAGAAAAAATAATAATTTCCATAAACGGAAACTTACGATGGTGTGTCATGTTGACACACAGATGAGAGAAAATAGAGATAACCTTGTTTAGAGTAAACAAAACATCAGATAGCTACCGCTCATATGCTAAAGAGAAATGTAAATAATTTTCTTTTTTTTATATAGGTAGAAGGATCAGACATGGAAGAATAAAGCAAATCTGTGTCACCTTTTTTTTAATTCGAAATATATAAGAACGATATGTTTTTTTTTTTTTTCTTGCAGCATTTTCCGAAAGTTGAAAGTAAACTTAAAGATAAGTAGAATATACACCGCAGCCATCCAACATGTCTGAACCTGTCTGTAATATAAACGTTGCTATTAACCCCCCCATGCCATATGATTCTACGTAACTATAAGCAGGTTCGAGAGGAAATGCCCAGCGTGCAGAGGCGTCTCGTGAAACAGTCACTTCAACTGTGATATTCATATCTGCAGACTTAAAATATAAGCAACATATATAAATAAAGATAAAAAGAATCATGACAATCAGATAAATCAATAAATAAATGAATAAATACAAGTTCCGAGACGGGAGAAGAACCTGCATCGCTGGAGATTCCCACACGAGGAAGACCTGAGCGGCTGATATATACTCGCAAGGTTTGATAAACAAATAATCTTACCAGCTGTAGTCACGTGTCCGAGGTCCAGTCCAAACGGGTGGAAAACGGGGTTGGAGGATACACAAGAAACACAATAAGACATGGTAAGAGCCGGGCGTCAGTAAGTGAGCAGTTTTGGGCGGCATCTGAGGGCGTTCCTGTTCGTTACCGCAAAGCCTGTGGTGTCCCCTCTGATCCTGTGCTGAGGTCCCAGGTGTTTGATTGCGCTGAACTAAGGGGTCGTGTGGTGAGGGGTCGTAGTGTATTGGAGGGGCGTGTGTTCAGGGGACGCAGTGTATAAGGGGGGTGTATGCTGAGCGAACTTATGCTGAAGGATTACCGTGTGCTGAGATGCCGTATGCTGAGGGATCACAGTGTGTTAGGAGGCCTGTGATGGCGAATCAGTGTGTGAGGAGTCGTAAGCTGGGGACGTATATTGAGAGATCATAATGTAGTGAAGGAGTATATGCTGACGAATCAGAGTGTGGGTGATCGCATACTGAGAGGTTACCGTGTGTTCAGGGGTCGTATGCTGAGGGTTTGTATGCTGCTGAATGTCCTAAGTGTACGTTTTTCTATCACCGTATGTTGAGAGTTTCTTCGTGTACTTGTCGGAGTTATGATTCTGTTAATAACTTCTGAACTTCTCGCCCCGCTGTGTTAGGGAAGCGATTCTGTGCATTGATCCTAAGTCTCAAGATCAAAGCTTTGTGACCAAACTTCAAAAGTGCAGTAAAGCTTCATTACGCCGCATGTGCACGCATTGTGATCCTATGCTGAAAGGGGTCTCGATCATAATGCTAAGCGCTAGCCTTAAATCTTGGAAATCCTTTAACTAGGCTCTAGGATATGTCAGAAACAATGTGATTCAGACCTCTTCTTATGTAATTCCTCTTCTGGACCTACACATATCTTTTTTTTAACATTCAACATTGTGTATGAAATGCGCAAATAGAAAGCTGTTTTTTAGACAAGGAATTAGATTATGTATCTTTTATAATATGTTCTAAAATTGAATGAATAGAGGAAGGCAGCGATTTAGAGAGAGAGAAATTTATATATGTAGAAAGAGAAAGTGCGCTAGAGAGAGAGGGAAAGTTAGAGAGAATTGAAAATGGGAGCGTGAGAGCGAGAGAGAGCGAGAGAGAGAGAGAGAGAGAGAGAGAGAGAGAGAGAGAGAGAGAGAGAGAGAGAGAGAGAGAGAGAGAGAGAGAGAGAGAGAGAGAGAGAGAGAGAGAGAGAGAGAGAGAGAGAGAGAGAGAGAGAGAGAGAGAGAGAGAGAGAGAGAATGTTAGAGAGAGAGGGAGAGTTAGAGAGAAAGTAAGAGAGAGAGAGAGAGAGAGAGAGAGAGAGAGAGAGAGAGAGAGAGAGAGAGAGAGAGAGAGAGAGAGAGAGAGAGAGAGAGAGAGTTAGAGAGGGAGTTAGAGAGAAATTGAAAGATAGATAAATAGATAGACAGATAGATAGAGAGAGATAGAGATAGAGAGAGGGGGGGGCAAGAAAAAAGAAGAAAAAGAAGAACAAAAATAGTCATTAGAATAAGAACAAGAAGAAAGGAAGTATGCTGCCCTACAACACATAAACATCAATCTCCGAATCCTGCCTTACAAAGCTCTTGTAGTATTTTGTATTTCCTGAATAGTTCAAAAGTGTATCCGTATCAGTCTACAGGAAAAAAGGCTTCAGAGGAGACCAACAGCAATAGCCATAAATTAACTGGCGCTAATTACTGTATAACTGTTTAAATTTCATTTGCGGTCGACGAGTATTTTATCGACAACGAAAGTGATAAGAATATTTAATGCTATTTATATAATATCTTTTGACTTTGGTGGGGTTTATGATTAATTATATGTATTTTTTTCTATTATTTTTTCTCTGATTTGATACAAGAACGCCTGCAGAACGCCGCCCCTAGCGATAATGGCCGCGACGATATTGTTAATAGGCCTATCAATAACTTTACTTGTCTACTAGGCCACACTTCAATCTAAATAGGACTAAGGCAAAGGACGCGAGTCTTCTGAACGTCCGTGATTCATGTAAAGTGCTAGTAGGTCCTTTGTTGAACTCGTGAACCATGTTTGAATCGAATCCAACGATATCTGTATTGTGATTGGCTGAAAGCACGTCACAGCATCTCCAGCCAATCAGAAGACACATCGGTTGGTTACGATCAAAGAGCGTTCATTAGTCCAAAGGAATTCGACCTAAGAACACAAGGCACAAAGCAAGGACGCCAGTGAACCCAGCATGTCCGTTGCCATACAAAAAAGCATCAGGAAAACCGGGCTTATCAACGGTTGCCTTACACAAAAAAATCTCTTCTTACGCATTCAAACACTAAATGATATATATTATGACATCTTACAGAAAAAAGAGTACACCAGAGTTCTATCAAATCCTATAATGCTTCGTATACAAAACAGACTGAGGGCTTTGTTTGTTGCTTCAGCCCTTTCCTCTCTTTTCTTTTACTTTACTCTTCGTGAAGCATATAAAGCTCTGGACAGCAAACCTATTTGGCTACCTAACAGACTACCACAGGTCACAGACGCTTGACACGAACACAGCCTAACATCTAACAACACAGATGCATTGTCAATACACTCACGCAGGCAATATAGTACAGACACGCACACACACAGACAGTACATTCTCACGCACACGCACGCAGAATCCAGAGCGCACGACGAAGGAACGACGGGAGGTCCCCTGTGAGAACGGTGCATGTAGGTCTGCATGTACGAATATCTACGATTCTACATCCGTACATACACACGCGTATGTATGCGTCCAAAGGGAGCCATAAATCTGGGTATGCTAATACACAGATTTGATGTCCTTTGTCTCCGGCCCGCTTGCTGAGGGCGAGCGTCACTCCGGCTGTACGTGACGGGCGCCGAAAGCAGCGCCGTCTCAGGGCACACCCGCGTCCCCCCCTCGCTCGGCGCTGGCTCTCACACGCACAGCATCGTCTAGTAACAAGCATCAACCACAATACTTTGCCAACAGATCACATTACGGATAGAGACATATCGAACAAGTTAATGCTTTTTTTGGTTTATGAAGTCGGCCTGAAGGACTGTGAGAGGAATTTCACCGCCTCTTCAGGTTTGACCCGGTGAGGCGAGGTCATACTCGAGATTGAATGTGCAATATGTCCCTGAAAAGAAAGGCTTGCCATGCAGTTTTCTTAGATATTCCTAATCTAGAACCTTACATGCAAACACTGTATCCATGCTTTATGCATCGTTATGCTATTATTTGTTTTCCATTCCTGTGGGAAGAATGCAAGGGCAGTCGTCATTCTAAGTCAACCTTGTCACCGTTGTGTACATGGAAGGGTTCACACGGTATTAAGGTTAACGCCGCCTAGACCGCCTAAGGGGACATGGCGGCACTGTCGTATTTTTTAAGATGCTGGGTTACATACCATTTTACTATTTACATTTACAGAGTTTATTCAATGTACTTCTATGGTTCCTCTTGGATCTAGTGTTGTGGAGCCCCACCTATGTGTCCAGATCTGCCATTCCTATGAGGGGTACGGGGGTCGTGGTTTCGCCGAGGGTGCTAGGAGGTGCCATGGTGATAGTGCCTGTCATCCCTTCCCTCCCCCTCGCCCCCCCCCCCAGGCACGATCACCATGACTCACCATGGCCACTCGGGAGACCTCATGGTATTGTTTTTAGTCATGGTTATAGGGTATAAGGTAGAATATAGCTTAGAATTTCCACCTAAAGTGTAAATGTCCCACTGGTGTTTATTATTATTATTATTATTTCCTTTTTTCATGTTTCGGGGGATTTCATATTCGGGCAATGGAATTTCCACTCTTCATATGGTATGGATGGGCATGAAAATGAGAAACTGATAAAAAAAAAGAGATGAAAAAAGAAAAAGGAACACTGTAGTGAAAAAAAATACAAGCAAAAGCTACTGTTAGAGAATTCCTGAGAAGAAAATCAGTCCCATACAAAAACACACAAAAAAACAAAAAATAATAAACAAAAAAGGCACCACAGATTAAAAAAAAAAACGCGACTGTGATGTTGATATATGTAAATGAAAACGACCATTATGAAAATTACACAAGTAACAGAAATGGTAATGACACTGGAAAGTAGATTAATGATCCTAGTGAAGAAAGCCTCCCCATAAATGAACCATTTAATAATGATTAAAACATGACGTCCGTGATATTAACAACTGATATTAATGATGATAAGAATGACTGATGATTAGCATGTCATTAAACACCACATGACAAGGATGACAGTGACAACCATCGGAATGAGGATGATTGTTTCCATATCAGTATTTTTTTCCATCACTTAAAAAAAAATGATAATGAAAATAATAACGATACTAATTAACAACAAATCACACACCACGAACGCTATCACACCAATCATCTCCACTTTTTTTATGGAATCATTGGTATCTATCAGAAAGAAATATTGAGACTAATCAGACCCTGCAGTCTGTGCAAGTCTATTCGAAACTGACGCGTCGCAAACGTTTTAACAAATGTTCTAACAAATCACGTCATAAATCAGCTATCATTACCACGCCAAGTTCAGTCCCGGCTTGGCTATGATTATGCAATCCCGTGCGAGTCATCAACGGCATCATAGAGGAAATGCGGTATATCATAACTTTTAAGGAACGAAAATTAAAAAAAAAAGGGGGAAGGGGGGAAGAAGTCAAGGTAGGGAATTCCCTTTGCTACCTTACCTACATCTTACGTCGCGTCCTTGTAGATTCTGGAAAATCTGCGAGTGAAATGAGACTGACCCTTTTGGGCGAAGGAAGCTGTGGTGAGTCTTTGTACACGAGGCGGTGCGAATTTACATCATGGTTTTGATCTTTTAGCTACAGAAATAAATATTTAAAAAGGAACGAACCAAAATATATGTTTTTTTTTTTTTTTTTTTTACTTCTTTGTACTTTGGCTAGAAATAGAAATGAATGAATAAATAAATAACAACGAAAAAAATACATTTTAAAAATTCTTTCTGTACACATGGTGGTGATATAGCTATGTACACACGGTTGCAGGATTCGACAGCGTCTTCTTGATGAGTTGCAACTACAAAACGCGCGCTGGTGACGTAATGGTAACGTACAGTGACGTATGTTTTTTTACTATCGATAAATGAAGGCGGTGAGTGGTGACGTAGTGATGACGTAGTGGTATTTATAACGGTGAGTGTGAGACAGAGGGATGTGACGAGGCCAAATTATGGTGATTCATGGTGAGCAAGCACTGGGAACGTCGGCACCGTATGGCACTATCTGTATGGTGGCGTGTATGGTGACGCAGGTGATGATGACAATCCCGAGTTGACTTTACGTGGTCGAGGGACACAATATCCACTGAACTAAAGAGGGCACTGAAGGATGTATGCTGAGTCAACACGTGGGTCCGAAAACACCTGTGCACTTAATCACTTATATACATTATATATTGTCATAGTAAGCTTGTGAGTACCTGATACCCTAAGTATATGTCTGTAATTTGTATTTCTTTAAAATTATTATTATTCTATTATCTGTCTTATATATATATATGAAAAAAATAGTTCACTACAAGCATTATGTTCTCTATAGAACTCAAGCGGCCACTAAAACATGTGTTCTGTTTTAAAAAAAGAGTATATATATATATATCCTACAATCTAAAAAATCTCTCAGTTGACTTTACTCGCTTCCAGAGTACTGTGCTTGCAGGGTTTCCTCGCGAGTGGATCGACATTTTTGGAGGAAGCAAAGTATGTTACAAGCATTGAGAAAAGAGAATTGTCTTTAAAGCATGGGTCGGGAGGGAGGAGAGTTATATACGTGAAGCTTAGGTGAAGGTGGGTTTAAATGCATGGCTAAGGACTAGGCTTTTAAGAGTACGTTAGGGTAAGTGTGAGGTTGTATCTTCATTTATTTTCTTCGTTTGTGGTTGTTAAGTGAAGTCTTCTTTCTCGTAGAGGGTTTTTTTTTTAGAATTTTGGAGGATTCTGTACGTGAGTGAAGCAAGGTCGTGTGAGGAGTGATTTCAAAGGCTGTGGGTGAAGGTCTTAATAGCATGTGATACGTGTATTAAGCAAGCCTTTAAGTACAAGGAGGATTTCTAAGTCTATATTTAGAAGGTTAAGCAAAGGGTGAATGGAAAACTACATTACTTCAAGCTAAACTCCAGTACCAGGATAATTTTTGTGCGGGGGAAAAGGGGGGGGGAGTCAAATTTCCATACAGAATAGAGGGCCAAAGCTAGATTTATTTGATTTTTAGGGGGGTATTTTGGGTTTGGGGGGAAATTATACTCTGCTACGTCCAATCTCAGGAAATAAAACACTGGCAACTCAACCCCTGACTAAGGAGTACTCCGGTTCGCCAAACCTCTTTTTTTCAAATTTCGATCAGCTGACACTTAACACCAAAATTGACATATATTTAGTGTTCGTTTTAATTCGAATTCTTCATTATTCCACTGAAATGTCATCTTCGACTCCATTTATTTGTTTTATCTCTCTCTATCAAAAAGACACTTGGCGAATCGGAGGGTTCCAGAGACCGGAGTGAGTTGCCAGTTCGTCCTTTCCTGGGGCTGGATGCAGTGCAGCGCCGGGATCTCAGGAGGAAAAAAGCAAGATTCAGGTACTCGAGGGAAAAGGTGCATCGTGGGACGCAAGCTCTTTACATACGTAGCGAAGAGGGGAGATGGGGAGGGAGGGGAAAGGGGAAGAGGGGAGGGGAAGAATCTCGACTACGTAAGACCTAATGTCCTCGAGGGGGAGGAAGGGGGAGGGAAACGTGCATGGCATTTGTGCATGTGTGCCAGGCAGGGTCAGCGTGAGGTCACCAAGCTATTCCCAATGGGTGTAGGGGGCAAGGTCACAATGCCAGGTCACGCAAGGTACGCTAGGTAGGGAAGCGAACAGACTCTGGGAAGTTATAAATAGCGATCACCAAAGATCTCGCTAATGCTAGTTCGCAAAAATGGGCTACGACTGTCGTTGTTATCTAATGCGTTCCTTCGTGTCTAATTGCAAAAAGTGCGTGGCTAGATATCCATACACAAGATGTGAAAAAATCACACACATACTATATGTATATACAGTTATACATGAATACAGACAGACACAAAAAACATACATGTCGAGCGAATATATATATTTATATATATATATATATATATATATATATATATATATATATATATATATATATATATATATATATATATATATATATATATGTATATATATATATATACACATACATATATATATGTATATATGTATACATGTATATATACATATATACATATATACATATATAAAATGCATATACATACATACATACATATATATATATATATATATATATATATATATATATATATATATATATATATATATATATATATATATATATATATATTTACATACATATACACACATATACATACATGCATATATATATATATATATATATATATATATATATATATATATATATATATATATATATATATAATATATATATATTTACATATTTATACACACATATACATACATACATGCATATATATATATATATATATATATATATATATATATATATATATATATATATATATATATATATATATATATATATATATATATATATATATAGCCATACAGTTATATATATGGTTGTATGTATGCAGTTATACATATATTCTTCTTCAGTACAGATAACCACTTGTAAATACATGTATGCATGTGCCATAGTTTAGTATAATCTATATATACACAATTTACGTATAGAAATACATACATATTTACACAAAATCTTTCCATGCATGGCTGCTTTGTAATATCAAAACTATAGCTTCTAAATCTGTACATTTCTGACTCGCTAAGTAAAAAACACCATAGACAGCCGTGTGTTCTACAGTTGGCAGATTGACGCGGTGGCAGGTGGCAGCAGCACCAAAACCCGGCCAGGCTAGGACACACTACAGCCACGTTACCGTCGCCGCGATTGTGCCACCCTGTGCCCCAAGCTGCCATTCAATTAGGGCAACTCTACTACACAAATGCTCTAGGAAAACGAGCCCAATTGAAGGCGCGCGCGAGGGCGAATCAGGGTGATCGCGTGAGCGGAGGAGAAGGCAGCGGAGCGTACCAAGTCTTGCGCCAGAGGCGTCTTGTCGCCGTCGGGAAGGTGCTCCTCCATGGCCAGCACCACGCAGTTGGCGATGATGGTCAGCAGCACTGCGTACTCGAACGGAGTGAGGCGCTGGTTAAGGAAAACCTGGGGTCTTCGTGGATGAATATATATATACAGAGGGAAGAAGAAGAAAAAGAAGGAAATATAATTGCAATGCGAAATAAGAAAGAAATGAAAAAAACAACATAATTTTAATACGAGACATTTCATCTTTATAACCTGTTGGGAAAGGTGGAGAGGTTATACATGTTCTATACCATATCTGCGTTGTATCCTATACCTGTAACCTGAATTATAAGTATGAATTAGTACATGACATCCATTTTATTCAAGACAATTCAAGCACGCAATATCATCACGCACACACCACGTACAATGTGTAAAAATATTGGCATTTGTATTTCATGACAATCTGAGTATATATGTGTGTGGACGTTGTGCGTGTGTGTGTGTGTGTGTGTGTGTGTGTGTGTGTGTGTGTGTGTGTGTGTGTGTGTGTGTGTGTGTGTGTGTGTGTGTGTGTGTGTGTGTGTGTGTGTTTGTGTGTTAACGTGTGTGTATGTATGTGTGTGTACCTATAACATTATGTACAAGTTAAAATTTCAGTCACTAGAATCAGTTACATACAGAGTAGGCAACGAGGATCACAAGTCTTGAACTTGTTACGCTGAGCACTAGTTTATAAGAACAACACGCTTGAGAATGATAAGAATAACGCATTAAGATTCTTCTTGCAGCTCGGTCGACAGATCTATGGTAGTACCCAGTGACCCTTGCAACAGCCTGCAT